ATCCCCAAACATTCACCCTCCCCTCTCAATTATCCCCACATTCACCCTCCTCCTCTCAATTATCCCCAGACATTCACCCTCCCCCTCTCAATTATCCCCAGACATTCACCCTCCTCCTCTCAATTATCCCCAGACATTCACCCTCCCCCTCTCAATTATCCCCAGACATTCACCCTCCCCCTCTCAAAAGATTACCTTTCGTGCAAGCCGATCCTACTGCATTCACCTCCGGACAATCACACCCATGGTTTTAGTTTTTTGAGATTATTATGTGGTATTTAATTCTTACAAAAAATATATTTAGAAGGTCTTTTCTGGAACTCGTTACTTTGGTAATGTACGTGTGTTACTTTAGGTAGTAGGTATTACTATATTGGTTTGAGCAAAAATACGATGCGATCAAACAACTCTTAATTTGCGTAAAGAATAGTGTCACTAAATATATTCACCCAATATTCACCTCTCTTTTGTACCTGCCTGCTTACTGTCCAAAGCATTGAGTAACACTTTCTACTTGTGCTGTGTCACACATATCCTCCTGCACGCAAACGCACGCAAGCACAAACGCATGCACGCAAGCATGTACAAACACACAATTGCTTATAGGCATATGTAGTAATTCTAATTAAATGCATTATTTCCCATTTTCATTAGATACTGGTCAGATTTCTCAAGGGAAAGAACCCTCGACTCTATAGCTATCAAGGATCTTTGCCGAAGCTTCCACTCCCGAAACTCCGTGATACACTAAAAAGGGTGAGTTAGAAAATGATTGCACTGTCTTATTTGCTGTTTATTTAGTTTAATTTCAATTTGCACACCATTTAGGCACAGGGACAGTTTTAAAAGAAGCCTTTTCATGCCTGAATTCGTAATGTATAGTCTCTTTGACATGAATGTTTTTGCCTTCCCATTTTGTATTGTTTTTATATATTATTGGCTTTGATGTTATTTTATAGTACCTTATATCAGTTCGCCCGCTACTGAATGATGAGGATTACAAGAATCTGGAGCAACTGGCAATGGATTTTGAGAAAGGCATTGGGAAAAGGTTTCAGCGTTATCTGTGGCTCAAGTCCTGGTGGGCAACGAATTATGTATGTACAGATAGTGTTAAGTATGTTGCGGTTTCAACATTCTTATTAGGTTTTATTCACAATTAGAACATCAATATTGACAATAGTGAGAAAAACCGTGTTATGGGGACAAAATTTGTAACAAACATGTTATAAAATTTTTACTATAATTTTGTCTGAATCATTGCAAAACTTAGATGATGGAGTAGATCAAATTTCAAACGAATATCAGCTTGAAGTTTGCACCAAGAAACTTCAAACCATGGCTGCTACCAAGGATTCTGAACAGCTCAATTCCAGTGACATGGAGTGGCTCTGACCTGAGTGGACAAATTCAAGTATCTTGTCTATGTCGTTGACCTGTAATCATATTGCAGTCCTGAAGTCAGAGTGTGGCTTGGTGTAGCTAGAACGGCCTTGCAGTCACTAATGTCTCGGTAGAAAGACCGCGCTATCAATAAAAGCAGGAAGCTTAGACTGATAAAGACTTTAGTATGTCCTGTTTTCATATTCGAATGTGAGGCTTGAACTGCGAAAGCAGATGACATTGAGAAGTTGCATGCTTTTGAAATGTTTTGTTACCAGCGTAAACTGGGGATCACAGATGATACCAGCACCATTCTCTTCCAACTCATTCTCTACCGCTGCTCCTCTTCCCCTCTATTGTGGCCCCACAG